GGGGCACTAATCTGAGCGACAAATTTCCAGCTTTTTCAATAGCTGTCAAAGAAATAAACTGCAAATAAAAGCGATTTTTTTCGTGTTCGTATTAACAGTGGAGCGCAGTGTATGTATCTGCCTTGGGGGAACATGAAACCATTTTGCTTGACTATACACTTCTTTTTATTTCTTTTGTGTGTTTATGAAAGTGCGTTTTTCAGCTTGAGCTCCTGCCTAGTTTCTGCCTCACTTGTGCTACGGTCTTTTCTTGCAATAGAAGGCCACGCAACATAGTCTACTCTTACAATGCTGAATTCAACAGTAACACTGTAATTTGGTTAGATGCAATATTCACATGCACATCTGAGAAGTAAAATGGGAGTCGCTAGTAAACGTTTTTTATTAAAATATTTCTAGATGCCTTTCAGCCCAGTTGGACAGGTATTTCGCTCAGTACAAAAGGTTGAATATGATTTTCTGTGATAATTTTATGCATTTTAATATTAAACAAACAAAAAAATGCCCATGGTCTTTGTAGGTTTCGTCCAGCCGTCAAATTATGCCGTCTGCGCACATCACTGCCTGGTGCTTCACGACGAGCGCCCTCTTGTGGTCTTCTTCCGATTTTTTTGATGGACGGCATATGGGCATGCTGTGCGGTCAACAAAACCCCAACAGTTGTTCAGGGGTGTTCCCTTGTCCTTGACGGCCTAATAAAAAAGACAAAGAAAAACACTTTTACAACACGGCAGTATTTAAACACTACCAAAACATGTGATATGGGACTTGTTACTCCTGTAGGATAAAGCGTATTTCCATTGTAGGGTTGTAAAAAGCTTGGTATCGTAAATTAATATATATATATATATCGTTGTTCCTAAATTCTGCTAAGCTTTGAGGCCGTCAAACTGTGCATGCGAGGCCCGCTACGCCGGAATTCAAAACGAAACTTCTGAAAACTGTTCTAATTTACCACTATTGCTTAGAAGTCCAGGGTTGTGTTTGCTAAATTTTGCATTGTTTATGCCTGTCTGGTTTTTACCAGACAAAAAATTGACGTGGAATATTCTTTCGACCGTTATTGGTAACTCTTTTCAATACACCACCGGGTAGCATTCGGCCGCCATATTTTGGGCATCGCTTTTAGTGCGAGACTTGTGACTAGAACCGATTTCATATTCAGTATTGACGCAGCATTCGTGTCTAATACATTTAGACTCGCATCCGCGAGAAACAATGACATAACTCTCTTGCTCCCTAGACACTTGGCCAAAATAAGGCGGCACCATGGGTTGCACTTTTAAAAAGGTTGCATTCAAGTTTCTATTATTTTCTAAATCTACCAAGAAAATCCAAGGCGAACATTTCCTTAGGAAAGTTAAACAATTCAAAAGTTGCGAGCGAGTGTGAATAAATAAAGCTGAGAGGGAATGGTTTCTTTGGTGCAGCTTGCGAGCGCTGTACTCGTGGTCAGCTTTCAGCGGCATTTTCGACAGGAGGGCGCGTGCACAGGTATAATAGGCGTTCAAGCACGCGCACCCGTACATCTGACTGCATAGCCATAGAACGTCCACAAAAACGCGACGACTTTACCGACGCCGTGCTGGTTGCAAAGTGATACTCGTTCACTTCGTTAGATTATGCTGTTTTGTGTTACATAGAACTCAAATCGAATGGTTTACTTTTCGCGCGCGGGGCGTACGCTTTACTTCTTGATTCGACCTATTTCAAGCTGGGGTCACGGTGAAAAACATCGACGCGTATTGAGAAAGTGCAGCCATCTTGAGATCTAAGCGATCACGCTAAGGACGCTGAGCGCAGTCCGCTCTACAACTTGTGAAGCGGAGCGCACGCTCACTCCGCTAACTATACGCTCCAACTCAGAGCGGGCCACGCATGCGCGGTGGGGACGATGCTTCTCGCAGAGCGTAAAGTAGAGCAAAGAGGGCTCATAAAGGTGGCCTACTAATACTCACAGATTACGAACGCGCCCGTCGTGACTTGTCCTGACACTGCCCATGTACACCTTTGGTGTATAGAAAAAAGTAACTTTTCACCAGACAGAGCAGCCGTGCTAGAAACAATGGAAATGCGAAATTTACACAAACCATGCAGGGTCTTACCTGTGAGCACAGCTCCAGTTTTGCCAAGGTCAACCACCTATGTTTGTTTATGTCAGCGAGCAGGTGGCCGAACCTCTCGTTGATGTGACCGACGATGAGGTTCACAAATATGCAGAACGCCGACAAGTTCCGTCCAAACGCTCATCCAAGTACGAACAGACGGTTGGGATAGGCCAGTCGAGGAAGAACCATGGAAAGCGTGTCGCTGTCGGGTGCTGGTATTTGGAGGCCCGCTTGCAGAGCAGCCAGGTCATTCTTTAAGCGGGATAGCCTCCTAAAGCGTTTCTCTTCTATGTTGGAAAGATCCAGCAAACCGCGTTCGGAAAGGAAGCTTCGGCGCTTGATGGCACGAGGGATAGGAATCATAGATTCGATGTCTCGCCAGCTTAATCTAGTTAGTAGAAGTCTCCTTCCTTGAGAACAGCGGGGATTCATCGTTCTGATGCCTTGCTAGCCTTGAGCAACGCTGTACTCGTACTTCGCAAAAGAATGTACTCGCAATGCGCAAACTTCGTCCTTTTCTTTCATTTTCTACTTCGAATAAGTAACTCTGTTTCATTTTTAATTCGAGTGGAGCAGAAGCTACATGAGCGACTGCCGGCCTTTCAGCGTCCTTGACCAGCACGCGCGCTCGTGCAGTGCAGGTACCGTTTAGAGCAACATGCTCATGCTTATACCTTCGGCTTCACTTGCACACAAGGTGGAACGATTGCATTTATAATTTATAGCTTAATATATTTTCGGGTGTGTGCCTACTCTTTTGTGTTTATTATTGTCGCCTTCGTTTTTACTACCTCTACAATCACGCTCCCTTTTACTCTCTTGGTGTTAACGCTTAGGTTTTTTTGTCTTACTAGTACTATGAACATCCACTTGGGGGGCTACGCAAGCAAATTTTTTGAACCCGCTCAAAACGCTCGTACACGCTAAAGAAAAACGCTCTACTAAAACGCGTTTTTTGACCTCCGCTTTCCATTCCGGCGAAGCGGGCCGCGCATGCGCAGTTTGGCACCCTCAGAGCGGAGCGGAAGATGAAAACGGTCTACTAAAACTCTCTATTGACTCAGGGATTCCAGCGGCCGTTGTTGGCCAGCGCCGCTTTTGACTTTGGCGCCGGCAATCAGGCCTTCGAATTCGTCGCTGGCTTTTTCGCGGAGTGTTCAGATTAGAGCCCCAGATCGAAACGGGCAGGGGTGGATAGAACTCATGGCACTAAAAATCCCTGGGTTCTGCAACGCGAGCATTCACTCCACGTGCCACTCCGAGCCGCTGCCACCGATCCCCCCTGACACACTCGTCGATGAAGCATAATTTTCAATGGAACGAAATGACACAAGAAGAAAACGAAGTCTACGTAGAACCGCTGGAACCACGCGGATGGCCGTACATGTCTCTCGCCTCCACGAACGACCGCCCCAAACGTCTCGGATTGTCCGTGGACGGCGTCCATGACTCCAGAAACTCCGACACCTCGTCAAGCTCTCCGACGACTCGATCCTCGAAAAGTGCTCCCGCGACGAGGGCGTTCCAGGGCCACACCGGAACTCGCCGCCAGGCGCTGAAGAATGGAAAGGTGTGTCCGCAGTTCTGAAAAATGGTGAGGGGAGATTTCTTTTCTGCAGTCGCTGACCGCTGAAGAAACGCGGGGCGTGACAAGTCCCGAGCATATTTTGATTGCTCTACAGCCAGTGATACAGCAGCGCTGTATGATAAGAACTTCGGAGAACAAATCACGAGGCAAAAGGCGTGAACATAATGAGTAACTCACGGCGTTTCTTATGCTATCAGTGACAATAGGGGGCATACACTGGTGGCCATAGCTGTGCCGGTGGGGTCTGAGTGGAGCTGACGGCGAGCTTCCACGGTGCTTTTACAGCGTTCATTCTCCCTTTACGATCACCTACAAGTGGGATCTCGGTCTGATGATGCGTTGTGAATCACGCACTTAAATATGGTGCCTGGTGGATACCCTCTATATATTTTAGTACTCGTATACGTGCCGCGCCCTGCGGATCTCCATGCTTTGTAAGTAATGGGTCGAGCGGCGTTTGACGAGTCCTAGCTTCATTGAAAAATATTCTTCACAGGTGGAAAACAATGGTGATCAGATGCAAGTGCGGGCATGGCGAGAGTTTGATACTTCTCCAAACTATACTTTTGTCCAAGCGCGTGACCAGCAAAAACTGTTTTCGAACGGCGTTGCAAAAAGAAAAAACCGGAAGTTTAGAAAGACGACGGATTGGTTCAAAGCCGCATGCCCACTCATGAGGGAAGGGTGCACGTGTGGGTGTGGTGTCCACCAGGCACGTAACCAGGATTTTGTTTCGGGAGGGGCCCACCCATGACAAAATGCTGTATGAGGGGGAGGGGGGAGAGGAGGTCCCAGCAGAATGGAAGATTTCGGGGGGGGGGGGGGGGCCGGGTCCCATGGCCTTCCTCCCCTTCCCTGGCTGGCAACGTGCCTGGTGTCCGCGGTGGATTCTCTGGATTCTCGCGGAGGTCGGCGAGATCGTCGACCGCCGCGATTGGCTAGCACCGCGCTTGACCTTGGCGCTGGCAAACAACGCTGGTCGGCGATCTTGCCGACTTTCTCGCCGAGTGTCCAACTCGCCCCTGATGGGATTAAATTAACATCTCGAACCATGTTGTTGCTGTTTGTTCTGTTTTCCGACACTTGTTTTCACTCGCTTGTTTCAGTACAACTCAGACGTTGCTGGAGCTTTGGGCCGACCGATGTTCCGCAGATACCGGTCCTTAAACTCCCGGCAGCACATATCGAAATATTTCTTTGTCCTGGTCATCCTGACGGCTTTCAGCTCTCTCATGTACCTGCTGGGAACCTCCGAACTGTCCACGACGATGAAGCACAGGCCCCTTCCGCGTAACGTTCCTGGCATGGGTCGTGGTCCGCTTGGACTCGTCACCACAACGAAGGATTCGGGACTACTGTTCGAGTCGTCACAACAACAACGACGGCGACAACAACAGCACCAACAACTCAAAAATCAAGACGCAGGCTACCGGAAATACTCTATGTCAATCGCGGATCACCTCGACTGGCTCCTGCAGAGAACGCCATTCCCAACTGAGCGTTCGCCCCCGAGAGACCGGAACGTCGAGGACCGTCGGGTCCGCCGTCTCTGCAGCACGGGCAAGTTCGACACCCTCATCTTCGTGCACACGGATCCGACGCACGAGCGCGAGCGCAACTTTTACCGCTCGACCCTCGGTCATCCGGCACTCTCCTCTCTCTTCCGATGGACACTGGTCTTCTTCGTGGGGTTCCGACCGGGTGTCAACGTGTCCGCAGAAGCGCGCGTCCACGGAGACATGGTCCGACTCCCGTACCTGGACAGCTACCGCAACCTGACGTACAAGTTTGTGCTCGGCATCCGATGGGTGCTCCTGCGCTGCCCGTCCGTCCAGCGGGTCGTCAAACTGGACGACGACGTCTTCGTGCATCCAGAATTCCTCCACGATTACCTGCGCCTCAGGGTGCGTCCCCTAGACCGGAACATCCACTGTTCCGTGTACCAACGCAACACCGTCATCCGGAACCCGCACAGCCGGCACTACCTGAGCCCTGCGGTCTATCCGGCCAAGGTGTTCCCTCGGCACTGCCACGGATGGTTCATCGTCCTTCCGGTCGTGGTCATGTGGGAACTGTACGCCGCCGCCTTCCGCTTGCCCATGCACGCCATTGACGATGCGTACGTCACCGGAGACCTGGCCAAGTTGGCGAACGTCAAGTTCCAAGACCTCACGGTCATCCTGAACGCCACGGAAGACCAAACGATGGCGCTGCTGCGGGGAGAGTTTCTGGGCATGGTCTTCACGGGGCGGTCCAAGATGCGCGTTAGGGAAGAGCTCTGGAAGACACTGGTGGCCATCAAGAAGCGTCCGAGCGTAGATGAGGCTATGATACAGACGCTGAAACGCTCGTGACGTCAGCGTGCATAACTAGATGCGGATTCATGGTTGGGTTCTTTCGACCCAACCACGGTTCTTGGCCTCAAGAAAGTACGAGTGAACTTTTATACTTGGAGTGGCGCTTAGTATTTATAGCTCGATGCATGGACATCCAACTTGTCGCGCCAAGCCAGCCAATCAGGTTTGTGTGTGCCCTGAAGACCGGCGTTAACGTTGTACAGTTTTGTTTTATTTATTTTTTTATTTATGTTACCTTAGTTGTCGTACCAATATCGGCCTTGTTGTGTTATAAGATATCGTGCCATTGTCTTTTACTTTGACTCTCCAGTTACACAGGATATATTTAGTGCCCGCTTGGATGGGCGGTTAATTTTTGTTCGTTCTGAAACCTAAAATACGCCTTTTTTGTGTTTACTGATTCTGAAGGGTCCATTCATGGTACTGAATTAATATGCTATCAAAATAAAATGATCCCTGTTAAAACAATTCACCACTTCAAGACTTTGAGTAGTTTCGAAGTATACATACAGTAGGTCGCCATATTTTTTTTTCTTAATGAACTCATTCATTTGCAGTAAGTTGTGATTACATAAAAACGATTGAATTAATAAAATAAAATCCCTCTAATAGCGCCTTTGTGCCGGGAAATTAATTTCTACATCAGAAACGAGTAATCGCAAATGACTCTTAGAAAGGGAAAACGAAAAAGGAAGAAAGCGGGAAAGTAAAAGCCTACCTTATTGTTAGAGGTATCGAATTTTCGCAACTCCACTTTCATTTGAACAACGAAGGTCATCGTTGTCCTTTCCATTTTGCAAGAAGCACACTCTGGAGTTCCTTGTAGCAAAAACGGAAATCGCAATAGCACAAGCTCACAACGACCACGTTTCGGCGGAATTGGAGATAATGGGGACTTTTCGCAAAACCGCTACCGCACTTCCACTACCATGAGCCCGACTGCGCATGCGCGACCGCGTACCATACAAATCCTGCAAGATTTGGTTTTAGCATAACGGGGACTCGTGCCGTGGCACCGGATGGAGCATACCCTGGTGACAAAAGTTGACGGCAATACTTACTTTATAAAAATTGCTGCGCAATAAAGTGGAATCATAATAAAACTAAAGACAGGCACAAACCGGTTCCTGACACTCGGGGACAGCTACAGTCACTAAATGAGCTGCGCGTAGAGTATCGGCACTCTGTACCCCGCTATCGCTGTAGGCGCCGCCATATTGGTGCTTCGTGCAGAGCAGACGCAACTGCCGATCGCCATAATTCAAAAGTGCGACTTCCTCAGCATAAATTTCGGTGTTAGGAAGCTCATATAATCTTGATTTGCTCTGTCGCCAACTGTGGAAACATTTGTGGGGGACGAAAGAAGAAGTGTGTTTCTTGTGATTTCAGATAAAGCTTCAGATAACTGGCCACCGTGATCTTAAGCCACAAGACGGAAAAGTTTCGCTACTCTGAAGTGTAGCTTATTTAGAGTCACTAGGACACGGTGCACTAGGGTCAGCGTTTCTTGGCAATGCAGTCAAAGTTATGTGAGTAGTTGAGCTCGCGCACCCTGGGAACCGATGAAATCTATGCGCGAGCCCTCTTTATTTCTTCTGATATGCCATGGAAAGCTGCCGCCCAGTGGGGAGCACCGGTGTCGTGCTCGTCACTGAAATGAAATAAAAAATGAAATCAGCTTGGCTTTCTGCACAATTGCAATGGCCTAGTCACACGGGCAGCCTTAACCTCTGTTAAGCTCCCCGTAGTTTGAGGCCACTAACCGCTGTTAGACCCAACTCTACCCAAAGGAGTATCTTGGCCCCTGTTGTCAAAATAGAGGAAAGTGTTCTGAGTCAAATAAATCATATCGTATAACACTGTCATGATTCTAAGAAATGACATAAAATGAAGTTGAAGGGGTAAGTAGGAAGACGATGATGCCACGTGAGACAACGACGTTAGAAGAAGGGAAAAAAATACAGGATGGTGGCGCAGGGATAATCGAAAACTAGACTGGGGCGAAGCGGCGGATGGGGTCCATGGCTACGCTCCAGGACGCGCTCGACCCTTGCTGTGCTCAAGCTGTCGCGACGAGAGTTCCACACTCCCCTTCAGACGCCTAGGAGACAAGGGCCTTCGCTGCCTTTGGCAAGTCACTTCGGTTCGTCAACGCTACTAACTCAAACTGTAAGGCGGGTTTCACATGCAGCGATTTTGGCGCGGCGCGATTTCTGCCGTCGCGGCGCTCGTGCCGCTCAACCGCTGGTGCTGGCCAGAGCGCCGCGACGGCAGAAATCGCGCCGCTCTAGGGCCAAAACCGCTGCATGTGAACTAGGCTTAAGGCCAGCTCCGAACAGCCTATCTTCTTGGAACTGTAGATGTGCTTGGATTATTTCCCATTTTACTGTGTGCATGCTGCTTTGCTTTCCCGTTATATCTTCGTATTCCTTTTGTAAATATAATGGGTTGTAAATTATTCGTTTTCGGCCTCGTCTCTATCGCACTCGCGACGTCTCCGGTAGAACCGTGACAAATACTACCACGCGCGTGCCCTATTTATTTCTTACGATATGCCATAAAAAGCTACCCTCAGGTGGCGAGCACCGGTATCATGCTCACGGAGACCAACACAATAGCCGCGTCATTTGCTGCGGTCCCACGGCCGCCATTTTGAACAAGGCGTTAGTTCAACCAATAGATGGCGACACGCACCCGTGGGGTGTAAAGCCCCTCGATGTGTTTGCGCTCGTCTTGCAAGTAGCGTCAAATGCGCGAGTGCACGAGGCCCATGTCTCGAGCGGCCCTTGGAAGCAAATGGCGGCGCAGCACTGAAATGAGCGGGCCTTGGAAGCGAATGGCGGCGGAGCACCCGCTCATGCCACGTGTCTCGAGCGCTTCCACAACAATGGTTGGCGGTACTTGTAAAAAAACGCTTTTATCAAGGGGCTTTAGTGGGGTGTAAAGCCCCTTGATAAAGGCGTTTTTTACAAGTACCGCCAACCATTGTTGTGGAAATGCGCGAGGCACGTGCCACGAGCGGGTGCTCCGCCGCCATTCGCTTCAGGGCCGCTCATTTCAGTGCTGCGCCGCCATTTGCTTCCAAAGGCCGCTCGAGACACGGGCCACGTGCCCTCGCGCGTTTGACGGTACTTGCAAGACAAACAGAAACATATCGAGGGGCTTTAGTGGGGTGGCCGAAGCATTGGTTCACAGTGGGATGGCTCGAGCACCATCACGTTCCCCTCGTGGCCTTGCTCGCGCCGCTGCAAGCTGTGCCCAGCTGGCTCAAGTAGCGTGGCCCAGCAAACGCAGGTATGCGAGAATGTCAGGCTGGGTATAAATTGTTCTCTGGTATAGGGAGATGCGGTTCCGCGGTTGTAACGGGCTTTCGCAATAAATATTACCAAGAAGGAATCAAATGTTGATTGACGTCTCAATATTCTATCAATGAAAATTTATTCTGCAGGAATGCACGCTCAGTAGACTCAATCTTCTAAGACACCAGTGGAAGCGGACGTCAAGTAAACTGCTTCGCGATTTACGGTACTTACCTCACCATTTTATTGACGACTAAAATAACGTCACGAAATATGTGTTTCACGGGGTCCGGAAGATGTTGTAAAGGTTGTTACATTTTAGGTACCCAGAAAACAAACGCCGTTGCAATATTTTCGGAAGTACCGACACACATAATGTTGTAAGGACAGCTTAGGAGGAATATTAGGAAAACCATCAGAAGAAGTGGGAAAACGTTTGTTTGCAGTGAAGACGTTATGAATTAACGGCATTTAGCGACGGCAAGTTATGAGCGTTCGGGAATTTATAAGTTCACGTGATTTCTAACTAAGGACATGCGGACAATGAAGACCAGTTTTGTCGGGAGATGGTGTTGCGGTGATGACCTTATATCGGACGACTCGTGGCAGACGAACAAGCAAGTTTCTTCTCAGCGAATGGTAAGTGTCCACTGTCAAGCACAACACGTGGCTACCGACGTTGTCAACGTTTCGAACACTTACCGCTTTCGACAAAAGTCCTGGCACCTAAGCCAACCTTCTGGAAAGACTCGAAGTCTTCCTTGAGTCCAACGCCATCATGAACAGTAACTGAAAACGATCCACTATTCAGTCGGCGGGTGGCGAAACGTATCCACATCTGCGGGGTCATGGTCGATGCGTACTCTAAGTGGCTGGAAGTTTACACGATGCCTGCCACGACGTCCAAGCACGTCATTGACGTTCTACGGTCTCTTTTACCTACTTTTGCCCTACCAAAAATAATTCTTCTGAAAACGCGCCAAATCTTGCTTCAAATAAAATAAGCAAGTTTTTGAAGAAAAAAAACCGGCATCAGGCATCACATCAGTGTACCATAGCATCCTGCAACTAACGGGCAAGCAGAAAAGATGGTGTACGAAACGACAAAAGCCCTTTTGAAGCTTACGGAAGGAGCAGTTCAGTGAAGAATCGCCAGGTTCTTGTTCCAGCAGCACGCGACGGTCTCATCTTACACGGTGAAAATACCCGCCGAAGCAATATTCGGCGGACGAAGAGCCACACCACTCGATCTCATGATACTATAGCCTGCGAACGAAGATCGAGAGATTCCCAGATCGGGAGTAATGGCAGTTTATTCGGTCGGACAACTCGTCTACGTGAGGAATTTAAGCGGAAGTCGGGCCTTCCATGTAAAACTTGAGTAGAAAAGGCTCTATGTTGGTTGACCAAAAGGTGTCATCCTTCTGAATACATTAGATATCAAGGCCCTTGAGTGTAAATATAACTAAATCACAAAACTCTCTTTGTGTTTTGTGTAACTGCCCTTGTATTCGATAGTAGAAGCTATGGTGGTGATTTGGACCTTTCACACCAGGCTCCTTTTTCACACCAGGCCCACCAGGCTCTTATTTTTCGCCTCATACTCCTTTGCGGTTCAAGTATGCTTCAAGAATCTTTTGGAACGGGGACACTTTACGTCAACGAGGCCATTTGTTCCAAGTAGTCAATCAGGGAATG